TGATGAACGGAGGCCGTCGACATGATTTTTATGAAGGAATTCGCATTAAAATTGTTTATTGTGTTTATTTATTGCAAACGAGCATCAAGAAACGGCCAAAATGGAAAGAGCAACACACACACACACACACACACACACACACACACACACACACATCTAAATATATATATATATATATATACATAATTAATCTTATGGAAATGCTGTCCGACTGCGACGCTTTGTAAGCGCCTCCAGCTCGGTGGTTTTCTGTGGGTCCAGCAGCAACAGAGTTGGCTGTTCAGCTGCCACTTGCCCATTGCCAGCTGCCAGTTGTAAAATACAATATTGGAAATGTTCTAGGAAATGTTATGTTCAACTCTGGCATTCAACATGCACAAGCGAATCGTGCATCTCGTGGCAAAGCGGCCTTTGCTAAATAAACAGCACATTGGCCAAATAATGTTGTTTACACAGCGCACGCGTTCGCAGCCCAGAAAAGAGAGAGAGAGAGAAAGATGAAAGAGTCAGAGAGAGATGGAGAGAGAGAGAGAGAGGGAAAAAGAGATTATCCAGTGGCATTCTATAGAATTGCGCTGCGAAGATAAAGCGACTACATAATATTTGAATTTTGTATAGCAGGAAAACTCATTCATTAATATCAAATACAAATTCCAAGTAGTTGAGATTTTCTTGATCATGGCAAGAGGAAGCTTTGGCTATACTTGGAATACCCACATACCTACATACCTACATACATCTGCACCAATACAGTTTACTTGCAACAGAGCATTGAGTTCAATGAGGAGGTGACAGCAACTGAGTTGCCATGCTAGGAAAGTAAATTCAACTAAAGATTCTTATTATAATCTTGATCATGTGTACGATTGGTTAACCTATTTTCACATTTGACCAACAACCAGGCAGACCAGGCTCATCGTCATTCTAATCCACTCGAAGTGGCAAGCTGGCAACTGGGAGTGTTCACACATCAACCAACCGTCGTCTCTTGAGAGTAGAAACAAAATTTTGAAAATTTATGCGAATGGGCGCGCCAAAAAAGAAAAGCTGAAAAGCAGAAAGCAAAAAGATAAAGAATGAAGAATAATGGGGATGGAAAGCAGAACTGTGAAAATATCAATTAGTGTGTGTGCCCCAAATGTGTCCCGAATGTCGCTAGGCGGCAAGCTGAGAGCAGGAGCAGAAGGTGTGCGAGTGTGACAGCTGTGTGTGTGTGTGTGTGTTAACTGCAGTTAGGCACGCCTACACTTTACAGTGTGTGTTATAGCCTCCACACACACACACACACACACACACACACACACACACACACACACACACACACACACGCATGCGTGCACAGTCATATATAGCGAAATGTGAACCGACTTGTCGCTCTGTTACCGCATGTCCTTGACACATATCCCAGTCAGTTTGCTTGGCACGCATAACACAACAGCTCATCTATGTGTGTGTGTGTGTGTGTGTGTGTATGTGTTAGCCAACGCCTTGTCAGGCTTCCGCTTGCAGCTTGGCCCTAATCCATTTGAACTTTTTACGCTTGTGCTCTGTATGTGTGTCCTCGCTGCCAACTCTCTGCCAAGGATAATAAAAGAAAATTCTCCTTGTTTATGGGACAGCGCAACTTTTGTGGCTTCCCATTTAACATTGTGCTTGTGTATGTGTGTGTGTGTGTGTGTGTGTGTGTGTGTGACTGGTAATATAATCCTAATGGAATTTACACTGGAAATGTTACAATGTTATGCCAACAATAGTGAGGAAGCATGTAACGTGGCCTTTTGTCATGCGAGGCTATTTTCTAGAAAAATTTGTAGTCATTGAATCAAATGTTGCAAATTTATATTGCTTAAAGTTTTTTGTTAAAAAAACAAAACAAAAAATAAAGAAAACAAAAACGAAGACATGCAACTTGAGCTGCAATATGAATTGTTGAAATGATGGCTCAAAGAACATTGTATTGAATGAGTAATTTGACTAAAATAAATACACAATGTCGACCTGAAAACGAATATTAATGGAAATTGATGTTGAGGGTGCAAGTTAAACAAAGGCTAGCTTCAATATTGTATAAATATTCAAATGCTAAAAATGTATTCAATTCTAGTTTTGATAGTGTGTGACACAGTTTGTCGGGAAAATGAAATACATATACAAATATATATTAATTAACAAGAGAGTTGACTTGCAAATAAGGTAGTAAATGGAAATTGAAATTCATAATGTGATTTGTTTAAATACACGCTGAGATAATTAATTAAAATGATTATTGCAATTTAGAGAATTTGTTTGCCCGGAAGCCTGCTGTTGCTGTTGCTGTTGCTGTTGCTGATTCGCTTGGACTGCGATGGATGCAAAAGTCAGCAATGGAATATGTCTCTCCATATGAATATAGAACTTAAGAGAACAAACGCAAACGCAGAAGCAGAAACAGAAGCAGAAACAGATTTTATATGATTTTTGTTGCTGTTGCTGTTCGTTTTTGGCTGAAGGTCAAGTGCATTAAGGCGAAACGGAAATCAAAATGTTAAATAGATATAAAAATAGTCGAAAAACGAAACGAAACGAAACGAAACGAAAAACCCAAAAACCAAAATGAAAATGAAAATGAAAATGAATACGAGCGCCACAGCGACGACGCCAGCGTTGAACATTTCAATATATTTCAACAAATTTGCTGGCAAGAGTTGGCGATGTCAGGGATTGGATAAGGCGTAAGGGGTTGGAGTGGAGATATGTATATATATGTATATATATGTATACATATATATATATATATATATATAAAACATGAAGCGTGCGAGAGCGTAGTAAATTTTATTTTATTTGATTTGATTTTGAAAAAGAAAAGCTGCAGTCGTCGCCTGAAGCGCGTTTATCCGTGTATCGTTATCCTTGAGTCGAACAAAAAGTGTGTGAGAGAGACAGAGAGACAGAGAGTGAGTGAGAGAGTGAGGGAGAGAGAGGCAGAGTGAGGACAAGTGAGAGTGAGAGTGAGAGCGAGCACTTAATTGTGCGTGTCAGGCAGCCACAACATGGACATGGACTTAGACATGGATAGCACCCACACACGAACCCAAACGACGACAAACGCTGGATACGCTGGGTACGCTGGGTGTGTGCTTCAGCCAGAGATGTATAGGCGTTGCTTGGGGATGTCTGTGTGTGTGTGTGTGTGGCAGAGGCAGGGGCAGTGGGGGTTGGCAGTGGGGCTGAGCCAAAGAAGTAGACGACGTAGCGTCGTTAATAAAAGCGGAAATGCTGGCGCCGACATTATCATCTCAGCCCCAAGTTTGCCTGTCTCTATGTATGTGTGTGTGTGTGTGTCTGTGTGTGTGTGTGTGTGCGTGTGTACTCGTGTGTGTGGGCGCAATTATGATAATTGAGCTAGCGAGCGATAGAGAGAACTGCAAATTGGCAGACAGGTTAAATTGCGCGTAACTCGCAAGCGCAGCCAGCAAGCAAAATTTGTGCGCTGAGCGCGTTTTTTGATTGATTTGACGCCATTTGGGGCAAATGCCACACACACACACACACACACACAGAGAGGCACAAACAGCAGCTGACACAGCAGCTGGCAGCAGCAGGAGTCGCCCGTACAAGGATACTCAACTGGCGCCTCAGTGTCTGCTGGACCCCTCCCAGTTTGTTTGCATTGCAGTCACAACATTTTGTTTCCGATGCGTGCGTGCCTGCCACACCTTGGGGCTGACGTGCATTGTGGCAGCTGCCCCATATTGATTGCGTGCAGCACCAAATTAGCTGCCTTTGATTGATTTCGAGGCACAACGCTTCAATGTATACGCGATTTTATTTTGCGGGTTTCTCCAGGAAGCTGTGACTTAGCTGCAATTGGCAGGATGGAGGGAGGGGGGATGGGGTGTGGTGTGGTGAATCACTAAATTTAGCAAAAATCATTTGGCAGCATGTTTACATTGAACAGATAGATAGATATATGCATGGATAAAATGGACAACCGGGCAAAACGGGCAATGGCCTAACATGTAAACAGCGGGCAGCGTCATCAATAAATAATATTAGACATGCAATTGAAATGGAAATTAATGCATTGAACTCAAATTCAAATTCACACTTGTTAAATGCATTTGATTTGGCTAATTGAATACAAAATGGCTAATTGAATTCAATTGTGCAGCAACTAAATGCCAAACATTTTATATTATTTGTCAAATCGGTATTCGAATCGGAATAGGAACCCCATGTTTACACATTGATCGCAATTCGAAACTAATTCACTTCTTTTTCAAACTCACAAATCCTAACTGATATTATCCCTTAAAGGCAACAATTATATATGAATATGTTTCAGTTTACGTGAAATTATATTCCAAATTCGATTGGCTAAACAGACGCACATATCTAGGTCGACTCGGATGTTGACCCTGATAAAAAAAAACCCTTTTTTTACCCATTTTTATTGGGATTAGTGTATAACATGAAGGAATTGCCGTTTCGGTTAGGTCGAAGATAACATACCCTTGCAGACATCACACCTCAAATTTCATTATAAATTGAAAGAAACGACTGAGAATATTTCGCAGTCAGTTGCACTTATTTTGTATCAAAATCTAGTTACCAATAAATAAACGAATACCATAGAAAAGTTGGATAAAATATCGAAATTTGTGTACTTCACGTACCAGAATCGGCACCTAAATTTGTTTCGATTTGACACCCTGTTTATATGTATTACATTATGTGTGATCATCTTTTTATAAGACATCATTACACAGTTTTCAGTTCAATATTACTTGAAGTTATGTTTTTAATCAAATTTATCTTTTATATATTTCTATTTTTATTTCTTACAAACAAAAAACAGATCTCTGCCAACACCTCAAACAGTTAACATCAATCAAATTATACACACTTAGCTCCATAATTAATGGGTGTCTGATGAGTCGCTTTTTATCACGCATACACCTGATAAAATTTCATATTCTGTTTTTTGTTTTAAGATCTTTGCTGGAACTCTTACTTACCATAAAAGGCACAAGCGATTGGCTGCAATGAGAAGAGGCAACAAGTGGAAACGGTTAGTGCTGATTGTGATAGTGTAACAACAAGTTAATAGCTAAACAGGCATGGTACACGGTACATGGTACATGGTACATGGTACATGGTACATGGTACATGGTACACTCACATTCGAGTGTTGAGTGTATTCACAAAATGTGCTCAACCAACTAACAGCATTTGTTGTAATCAAATAAAGCGAGGCTGTGTGCTTACGCCCATCAATAATTGCAGCTTATGGTCATCCATTATGTGGCAACCCCCCCCCCCCCCTCCCACCGATACCATTTTTTGAATAGCAACTACAACTACACACACACACACACACACACATACACACACCACATAGCTTATTCCCCACGCTTCCATTGAATATTTTGGTTATTTGCTGTGTGTAAGACGATTGATGATTATTGATTAAGCGCCTGTCCTCACGCTCCGCTCACTCCCCCCTCCGAGCCGACCACTCAGACATCGTTCCATAGCGCGCTATTAGCTTAAATTGGCGGACGACCGGCGAATGAATCATCGCGAAAACAGAAGACAAAAAAGTAAGAAAACCAAAATGAAGACAAACATAAAAAATAGCCGAAGACAAGACGTGAAAAATATACAAACAAAAAAAAAACACAAAGACGCTAAAAACAAACGCGCGTAGGTAGCGCCAATTTTTTAGGCAAACTCACAACAAATTTTTTTGTTTTTTTTTGGGGGAAGCGTGAAAGAGTGACAAGAGGCTGGGGGTGGCGAGGGAAGGGGTGCCATTGCTAGTCCGCCGACTGCTCCCCCTCTCTTTAGCCTGTCCATTAATTTGGCTTTAATCTTGAAAGCAAACGACGACAAAGACCAAAACGAAAGACGTTTTGTTTATTTGGTTTTTCGTGTGTGTATTTTGCAGCCGCTGACTGTATTTCAGTGCTCAGTGCTCAGTGTTCAGAATTCGATATTTGCTATTCGTAACCTCACAGAGAGTTGTTTAACTAAATAATTGAAAGAGCTACCTAATTTGCAACATTTGTGAGGAGGATTACGGCCTTTCAAATTGCATTGCTGTTTGCCATCTTTAATGGCATTAATTTGTTTGAAATGCCAAAAACCGTTGAGCGTAAAGCCAGCAGCAGTTAACTACAAAAAAAAACACAAAAATTACTCACAAAAAAACACAAAAAATACAGCAAAGGAAAAAACATAAATAAATAATGCGCAAACAAATGTTGGACGTTTGGTTATTTTGTGCGAATTTTCACAAAATTTTGCATTGAAATGTGCAAAAGCTCAATTAGCTGCAATTAACAGCAAATTTAGTGTGCCTATTTAGAGAGCTACTAAAAAGAGGAGCTCGTAAAGCTCGTAAAGCCAAGCAGCTGACTTGAAATGCAAGTTAAAACCTGAACAGAGACTTGCATTTGGCGCACATCGAAATGGTAAAACAAGTAAAAATGCTGTATTCACAATCCCCAAACTGAGCAGAGGAACTGGAAAAAATCGTATTTTTAGTCCTTAGTTAAGACTGTAGAAATAACAATGTAGCTTTTATAGAAAAGTCGTTCTATGGTGGGTCTTGATATCAAACAAAAGTATCAACTAATAATACATTGGCACAAAGTTGCAATAAGCTTTGTTTAAAGATTAAAATGCTTAAGCCGTAAAAAATAAATATTTGATTTTGAATAGGAATGTATAGTTTCTAATCGAATTGAAATCGTTTTCCAAGCTCATTAAAAAAGCTGATGTGTTGCACACAATTCCAGCTGAAGTTTAAAAATTGATTTGGGATTTAATGAGAATCGGAATTGAAGTCGAATTACATTGAATAAAAGTTGTTGTGTAATTAATGAAATGCAAAATGCTTTACAGCTCATCGTCATCGCCATCGCTTAAAACTCATGGATTTTTTATACAGCCAGCTTTTGCCAATAAAAAAATAAGCATTTGTACAACGTGTTGCTAATAACTTTTTTACTATATGTATATTCATATGATACGAATGCACAGAAAGACATCAAATGAAGTCTAGAATGAATGTGACTGTGTTTAACGAGTCTCATTAGCAGTCATAAGATTTATAATACTGTCATCGTAAGTGCCGCGTGTCTGTGTACGCTTCTTTTGTTAGATCGCTTGTTTGTCTGTCTGTTTGTCTGTGTGTTTGTCTGTGTGTTTGTTTGTTTGTTTGTTTGTTTGTTAACCCATTGACATAAGATAGCAATTTGTATTTTCAGCCTCAGCCTTGGCACGTAACATGAACAAATATGTTGATCTATGGCAGGGCTTGCTAGCTCTTGATCGGTCGAGTGATAGACGGCAATATAAGCAATTAAATATCTGGTGTTAGGGCTGCTTTACTCTTCGATCACTTGATCGATTCGTTGTACATGTTGATTGACATCTAAACAGCTTCCTTGTGGGATCAGTGCAATCAATTATTAAGCTTGTATTGGGACAATTGGGCATTGTCCTGCTATTCAATTGATCATTGATCAGTAATCGTTTTGTATTAACTGATATCAAACAATCTTTGATGCTCTCACTCCCTTGTCACATATACTTGTGATCAGTTAATTTGTAAGGTCGTTTGTGAGCCCATATATCACCGTTCTTTGGCAAGATTGATAGCACGGTTTTTTTTGGCGATTCACACACCAAAAATGTTGTTGACGCTTCTCAATTTATTCGTTTTGCAATTCAAGTGAGCGAGTAGCAAAACTCCAATTGAGGCAAAGATCAGTCGATCAGTTGATCAGCTGTGTGGTTTGCTGATCAATTAGCGCATATCGCATGGCCTTCATCTCGAGCAAGAGTCGAGTGAGTCTACAGTTCCAGAATGCGAATTGCCATGCCACTTGGCATGGAGAACGGCAACACACAGAAGCCCGACTAAGAGATGTGAAACGAGAATAGATGCCAATTTGAATAATGAAGATGAAGCAAGCTCTAAACGGCCATTCTTTGCAATTAACGAACGACAGCTGCTTCAGCTGCAGCTAGCAGCCGTAAAAAGCAAAAAAATAAAAACAAAACGAAAACGAAAAATTCGAACAAAAAATACCTAAGAACCAACAACAACAAGAACAACAAGAACAACAACAACAACAAGGGCAACAAAGGCAACAATTAAACGCACAATGAAACACATTAAAAATTATTTAATTAAGTGATTTTAATTTTCGTTCTACTATTTCTTTTTTATTCGACTCTTGCTGTTGATTGTCTAATTTCATTAACCGACGCATCGAGCAGGCCGAGCGGGGGGGTTGTGGAAGTTGCACATATGTATATGGGGAGGCTAAGAGGTTGACCAATCAAGAGCTTGACATAAATTGATTGGCACTGCGCGCCAGGGGAAATGGGTCCAATGTGAAACATTTGGATCGTAATATCGTTAGATAGTAAGTTCGTCAGGGGCAGCGCGGTGTTTTTTTCTTCTCTTTTTTTTCTTCAATTTTTTCAATTAGAATAGATAATTTGACAATTCAGTTCGACTGCATAGTGAAAAACCCGAAGGCAAAGCCGAAAGACGAGCTCGGGGCCCGAACACGAAACGAAGGCGCCAACGATTACGATCAAGATTCGTGTGTGATCGTGGATCATTGCGTGGGCGTTGCACAAACAGACACACATAAATCACACTTAGAGGGCAAAGTTGTTTGGCATGGTATGAGTGGAATGAGTGGAATGAATGAAAAGCCCGTAATTGAATAATAATCGTTTAATTAGAGCATAAAGCGGGCCAAAGACTAATTGGCAGCGAGTCTGCGCGCCGCTCTACCTTTGAACAGAACAGAACAGCAACAGCAACAGCAACAAAAAAAACCGACGAAAGTGCCACAAGCAGCAGAAGAAACACAAACTCAAAAATTGGCAGCAGCTGTGTGCCAGATCATACATCCCCGTCCACATCCACATTCACATTCACATCCACGCAGCTGAAACCTTATAAAGCGAGTTAGTTGGTGGGGGCCAGTCAATGGGTTATTTAATGGACGCTTTTCGGAACATTTCCATACGAAATGAGACGTCCAAAAGCAAAAGGCGAAATGCTAATGCCCAAATACAAAAATCCAAAAAAAAAATAAATATAATAATGCGACTTGCGAGAACTACGCATCTGCTCTTTTTTTTAATTTATGGCCAGCAATAATTTCTGTTCGTTTCTGACGTATAATTTTAAAACAATAAACATAACAAAAGCCGGGGCGTGACAACTGGAATGGAAACTCAAAAATCTAAACAGATACCAGAAAATTGTAGATACGAGCACGAGAGAATTAGACAAGCCCGTACAACTGGCTGGCCCTCAGTTACAACTTGGCCAACTCGGTCATCTAATGCTTCCGGTTTAATTAGGCTTAGCCCGCTTTCGGTTCGCTTTGCTGTGGTCCACGCACTCCTCAGTTGAAGGTCTGGCCACGTCTCGTAAGATCATTGTATATTATTATATTTCATATCTATATATATATATATATATATATATTTTATTAGCGTATATACAATTGTATGTGTCGGCGTGTATTGATTGCCTGGCCAAAGTACAGCGCCCATTAAAAAGCCATTACAAAAAACATAAAAAAAAAACAAAAAACAAGTTAAGTACATGGCAACTTGTAGTTGGGTAAACGCCGATCAAAACTAAAAAAAAAAAAAAAAAAAAGCTAATAAGAATGGTCTAGCCAAGAATGCTTAACTGGAAGATACCCTATCAAAAAGCTGCACTGTAATTATCGCAAGCTGCTCAAAGTTGATAAATAACTTTTGTATTTACTCTGAGAGCAATGTGAAAATTTCAGAATATTGAAAATTTGAGCTTACTGAATTTGATAAGATATCTTTATTTGAAAGGGAGCGGCCATATTACAGGGTATACAGGGTATAGAAGCGAAAGCACTCGTCTGGCAGCGAACGGGAAGTTCATGCCCAAAAAGTTGTTAAGCTAAGTTTGTTGCTGTCCCGTTTTGGATTTCCGCTGCATGTCGACGACATGTGCCACA